GGATAGAGAGTGGTCCTGATGCAGGACTGATGGCAAGGCAGTCTAGCCTCGCTGAAGGTTCTAGCTCGGTCCACCCGGGTCTGCGTCAATGACCCTGAACTCACAGGCATGACCCAGCCTGCTGCAGTACCCCATGAGGCCCCGCAGGCCATGCTTAGAGTTTCTCATCCAGCTCCCAGGTGCCTCCGTGCATCGTGGCAGGGCTGCCCCGGGGGGTTCGGTTCAGGTAGTTCTGGATGGCGGAGGCGCAGTCCAAGCGTTCCATGGCAGTCATGAGGTAGTGAAGCTCCTGCAGGCTGCCATTTTGTTCCTCGAACAGCTCCAGGATGGCCGCGGCTGGACTACGTTGGCAGGACAAGAACCTGACAGGGAACAGTGAGAAGAAAGCGGGGAAACGAAGGAGCAGTATGAGATCCACCCTGCACCGCTTGCTCCCCTGGGTTCCACTCCTCTTGTGCCTCAGGTTCCTCTTACTAAGCTGAAATCCTGCATGAGACAGCATCTGAGATTGCCCAACCTGTTGGCATTGTGACAACATTGTCCTAGTTAGCTTGCTGTTAACTGGACACAAACTACAGTCATCTGGAAGAGGAAACTCCAACTGAGAAAATGCCCTCATCAGATTGCTCATAGGCAAATTTTTGGGGGCATTTTCCTGATTAATGATTGATATGAGAGGGTCTGGCTCACGATGGGCGATGCTACCCCAGACAGATGGTTCTGGATGGTACAATAAAGCAGGCTTGGGAAACCCACGGGAAGCAAGGCAGTGAGGAGCATTTCTCCATGGCTTCTGCATCAGTTCCTGCCCCCAGGTTCCTGTCTTGAGTTCCTGCCTTGACTTCCCTTCATGATGGAATGTCATGAATAAGCAAATAAACCCTTTCCTTCCCAAGACTATCTTGGCCATGGTGTTTCATCACAGCAATAGAAAAGTCAAACTGAGACAGGGATTATCGACAAATTTCACACAGGAGGCAGGGGAATCATGCATGTTAAGAAACAAAATGGAAAAATTCTTGCTTTAAGTACACATAGGACTTCGTGTTGTGTCTCATGCATAGTTTCCTGTGATGGCCCGTCATTGTTTGGGAACCTTCTAGAATCTCTCTTACAATCTCTAACTCCTCCACCACCCGGCGATGCCCTGCTTCTCTGACCTGTCCTTGCCCCCTTCCACCCTAAGCCTCCTGTCTCCTGGCCCATGCCTACACCACTTTGCATAGCCTGGCCCCCTGCACCTCAGCTGTTCCTCACAGCTAGAGTGACTGACTCTCCATGGTCCCCTCTCGGACATCTTTTCTGACTCTCCACTCTGCAGCCCTCTGGCCAGACCCAGCTATTCCTACTTCAACTCTGTGTGTCTCTCTTCAGTGTTCCGCAATAGTGATCACACACAGAGGGCACAAGGGAAGCTTGCTGTTGTTCTCAGGTTCTCAAGGCCCTTGCTGTAGTTCATTTGTGCTCCTAGGAGGTGAAAACATATTTCACACTGTGTCTCAAAGCTTGGTGGCCCATAGACAGGCACCCAACAATTGCCTCAATCTGTTCTGCCTCCAGGGTCTAGCTCTAGCTCGCCCATCCCTGACCACTGCCTTCAAGCCTGGGCTCTGGGACCTGCACATAATTGTTCTTCTACCCATCCCTTTGTGAGCTTCTTGGCAGGGACCCCAGCCGCATCGCCACTGTGCTTGCTAACACTGCCTGTGTTAACAAGAGGCAGGCTTCCAGCTCCATGTTGTACACACATCATCCTGTAATCTGCTTTTTCATGCCTTGGGCCACAGTGTGGCGAGCGCTCACTAGCTCAGTGACTTGTATCATTTCTTGTGAAATATTTATTGCACACCTACCATGAGACAGACATCATATAACTGACCTCGGGCTGAACGGATGGGTTTGGCATCCCAGGGAGAGAGTGACATATTCTAAATTCTACTGAGGCACTAGTGCCCTTCTCTTCAACTGTAAAACTATGGCTACTTTTTTCTTTCCACTTACAAAATCCATATAGCAGATACATAGGAGTGTGAACTTGAAGCTGACTTCCACAGAGAACATAGAAGAGGCTTCCACTCTATGCCTACCCAAGGAATGAACTGGAACAATGAGCTTGGCCAGGCTCAGAGACACAGATGGGGTGGGGACTCTCACACCAGCATCCCAGCAACCCCTGGGGCTCTCTTACAAAAACTGGAATCTCAATATCTGCTCCCACTTTCTTCCGTACTGAACTTTAACAATAGTTAGAACAAAACTGGCTCCGGTATAGAGGACTGAGACACTGGGGACAAGTCACCCCCTCAGTCCCTGAGAGAGAGGAGGGCTGTCCCAGAACCAGGTCTACTTGTCTTCTGGCCTTTGCCTCCTGACTAAATTGTTAGAAAGTTGTAAGGAATTAGAGTCTTTCTTTCCCCAGTTTGGAACTAAATCTATTTTTATCAATTTCTGTTTCACAAGAAATTGGGAAACATGGGGAGAGCAGGTGACTGGTTTACAGACCTGAGTGTCTGATAACAGTTACTCTGAAGTCTGAGGATATAGATCGGCAGACACAGCTGTCCTTCCAGATTCACTAACTTTCAGGTCACCTCCTTGTCTGTGGTCCAGCTCCCAGAATGTCCTGAAGTCGCCCCAGCCTAGCCCCCCTTTGACCTCCTTGGTTGCTCACCGGATTTTCATGCCACAGAGCCCCATGTGGGTGGCCAGTCTACGCCAGTCGTTCCCAGTGACACTGCTGGGCTCCAACAGCATCTGCAGCTGCTCAAAGAGCTCCGGGGGCAGCCTGCAGCGGGGAACGGGGTGTTTGCGAAAGGAAGCCTCAGAGACCAAAGGCTGGGCAGACGGTTCAGTCTGCTGCCACACAGTCACGAGGTCTTGAGTCCAACAATCAGCACCCACATAAAAAGTCTGGTGGCTTGTACTTATGACCTGAGCATGGGAGAGAGGTAGACAGGCAGATCCCTGGGGCTTGGGGTCCAAGAGCTCCAAGTCCCAGTGAGAGACTTTATCTCAAAAACAAGATTATGGATCCTGGGGAATAACACCTAAGGTTCACCACTGGCTTCCTTGTGCATGCCCACACGTGTTTTCACACACCTACATACATGAACACACACAAGAATGCACACACGCGTGCATACACACACACAAAGGGACTCTGACGTTCTCCATTCCATTACCTTCTGGGGATGCTGAGGCAGGATTGCCAACACCCCCAGACAACTGTCGGGTCACCTTCACCTCACCTATTGCATGGGGGAGGCTGAGAGACAGGAGGTGGTGCCGCCCAGGACTCTTCCTCTGAGGCCTGGAACCTGAGGATTTCCATGTACTTGGATTCCAAGCCCTGAATCACCAACAGGGACAGGGAACACACTCAGGGGTCATGAGAAACTCCTCCCTCAAGGGGTCCCACTGCATTTCTCATGACGTTCCTTCAACCTGCCACAGCCTTGTCACCAGAATATACAGCCTCCACTCCCCGATCCTTTCCCCTCCCGCAGCACCCAGGACCCTCTGACTCCAAACTTCAGGAGCTCCTCAGTCAGGCTTAGATTTGCCCCTGAGAACAATAAAAACCGCACAGGGTGCATCCTAAGCTGCCAGAAGGCATGAGCAAGACAAGGACACCACCCACTAACAGAGAGACTGACCTCCAACTGTCCTCCCTAAATGACAATGTGTGGTGTCTGCCCCCATCTTGCAAGATGCTACTTTGGGTTTTCCAAAGACTCTCAGACCTGACATGCCCGTCTCTTCTCTGCTGCCTTGGGGAGTGGGGAGGTAGCTAACCCCCTTTCCACCGCTCAAGTCCCCGTTTCTAGTTATTCCCATTTAAGACAGATGGGGACCTTGGACGAGGCCAGGGCCTCCAGATCCCCTAGCTGTCCTGAGCTGGGAGAAAGAGCTAATGTAGGATTTGAATTTTTTAATATTCTAATGCATCCATCCATCCATAAAAAGTGCTCAAGGACGGAGGGTCAGTAGGGGCCAGCTGGTCTACGTCCCTTAAAGCTCTGGCACGGTAGCTCTATGGCAAATGCACCCTTCAGCTACTTTGTTTTGTAATTAGGTCCCTAGTCACTGCCTGATGGACCCTTCTCCCTTGCCCAGATCTTCCACAGGTCCTGCAGAACTCACATCCTGGAAGGTGTGCATGGTGACAATGATCTCATTGGTTACTGCCGAGCAGTCTTCATTCTCATTGGCTACAAAGAGAAGCAAGATGGGTAAGAGCAGAAAGTGGGGCTGTAGAACAGGGTGGCTGGGAGGGACAAGCCGGAAGTGAGCAGGGCTCCTGGCGTACCTGCCTTTCTCCGGAAGCAGAAAGAACGGAAGGGGCACTTTCCGTGCCAGATATGAAGGTGGGGAACCAGCTGGCTACTGCTGTCGTCCACGTTTTCCCAACCTGGGGAGAGGACAGAAGCAACGGCCTTAGAGCACAAGGCCTTCCACAAGTCTTTAAGGAGGTTGTGGAGGGGCATCAGGATGGCAAGGGGCAGAAGGGTCTCAAGTCAATGAAAATCTAAGAACTTGAGTGGGTACCTCAAACTGGCCTTGTTCCTATGCCTGTGTCTCTATCTGTGTCTCTATACTATACTATACTATACTATACTATACTATACTATACTATACTATACTATACGCACGCAGCCCTTTAGTCTTCCTTCATCCTCCCATTCTCTATCCCACCTCTTAAAGCAGTCATATGCCCCAGAGATGCTCCTGTCCAGAGCTATACAGAGGATTCCAGAAACACCATCAGCAGCCCCAGCCTTAAGAAGAGCCCCAGCAGGCAGGGAAACTCAGAACATAATTCCCAATCCGAGGCCCTCTCGCTTCCAGCCTCCCTCCTCGCATCCTTCTAGTCCAGGATGGCTGGCGAGGACCGAGTGGGAGACAGGAATGTGAAGAAAGCCAGGAGGTCCTCTCAGGGCTGCTGGGAACCAAATCCAGGAAATGATTTCCTGGAAGACAAGAAGGGAGCCCAAACGGCCCTCCCACGAAGCTTTCCACCCCCACCCCCACCCCCGGGGCCCCCTCACCCTCAGAGATGTACTTGAGCTTCAGACACTGGTCTGCTCTGGCCCCAGTGAAGTCGAAGAGCTGGCAGGGTCCACGCATGCGTCCACCGTGGGGCTGCTCATTGGTGATAGCCCACTGCAGTGCGCAGGGAGTATTGTTCAGGAAGTAGACACGCAACTGCAGGTGGGTCTGCCCGGGCGCCAGTGGGGAGCAGAACACTGCCAGCTGCAGCCACTTGTGGGCTGTCTGACCCAGGGGTGCCTCCAGAACGCAGGTGTAGAGGCTGCGGAGGGAGATGGTGGCGGACGCCCATGCATAAGCACCAGGAAGGGCAGGACCCAAGGTGCCTACCTTCATGCTCCTGACACCTAAGGGATCTCTGAGCAGGTGAGGAGAGCACTCCAAGTAGGTATAGAAGGAGGACCAAGTGAGAGACGGAGTGGCTTAAAGAGTCGAGAAGTGAGTGGGCCATGGTGGCTGTGATGGTGAGACTAGTCAACTTGACAGGGTCTAGAAGCACTGTGGACACAAGTCTCTAGGCACGTCAGTGAGGGAGTTTGTCACCTGAGTTATTGAGGGGGGAAGACCCACCCTGACAGACAGGACTGAGTGAAAACCAAATGACGCAGCAACAGCCACCCCTTTCTCTAACGCTTGGCTGAAGAGGTAGCATGACCAGACGCCCCAAGCCTCTGCCTCTGTGATTGACCTGTACTCTTGGAATGTGGGCCCATGTAGCCTTCCTGAGTTTGCTTTGGTCAGGTGTTTCTCACAGCAGCGAGAGGTGACTAATACAGTGACTGCCACCTCCTGGGGAGGCAAGCCAGTGTGTATTGTCTGCAGCAGAGACAAATTAATCACGGGGAGCCACAATCTGAAGGGGGTCCTGCACATGGTCCTCCTGGGGGTGGAGGGCAACAAGGAAGTTGGGCAGCAGAGGACCTCAGACCCAAGAGATGGAGACCAGGCATGATGAGAGCTTGAAAGGAGCTACCTGCCCTTCCTTAAGAGTTTGAGGGTGGTCCCACAGTGGGGCACGGGCAGAAAAAGGCATCTATAAAGGACAGATGTGGAGATGGGACAAACTCACTACAGGTGTGTCCAACCTTTTGACACCGAGGCACAATGATATCATCCAGTCACACTCAAGAACCATACAATTAAATTTCAAAAAAAAAAATCTCAGTGTTTTAGGCAAGTCTACAGTTCTGTGTTGGAACTTGTTCACAGCCATTTGGGCCGTATGGACTGTGGGTTGGATGTGCCTACTAGACAGAGGGATGGGTTGACTCAGGTGCCTCCAGATAGGCAGAGAGAGAGCAGTGGGACACAGTCTCAAATGGGGTTTCCATGACAGAAATGACTGCCGTGGACATTAGAACAGCAGATTCAGAGAGAGGGCCACAAAGGTCCTAACAGACTGTTGAAGCATCTAGAGGAAGACAGGGGCAGCAGTTCTGACACAAAGACAAGAAGGGGGCAGAGAGGGGGGGGGGGGCACAGAGCAGGGGACAGGCCAATGGACAAGGCCTACCTGAAGTGAGAGAGCAGGATACGGCACTCATCCCGGGAGGTATAAGCCCCCGGCCGACCCAGACACCTCCAGTTCTTGGCATCCAGCAAGGAAGTATTGCTGGTGTAGGCACAGGCCTGACTGGGCTCCTGGGCACAGTGCTTGAATGTGAGGGTGCAAGGCTTCAAGAAGGAGGCTCCATGAGGGCCACATGCCACCACAGGACTCACTAGCCCCTGTCTGTGAGACAATGATGGGGCATCCATCAGGTCCCACACCAGAACCAAGGACACCCTCTCCTGGCGACCCACTGCCACAGCACCTGGAGGGACAAAGGGCTGAGGTGAGTCCAACACACGAGGCCAGGCAGAGAGGGCAGGGCACCCAGCAGAACACCAAGAGGCTGTGTAAATGAGGAAGTCCTCCATGAGCTGACTTAGAGTCACCATTTCCTTCCACGGCCACAGCCACTCGGATGGGGACATGTTTGACTTTCCGCATCACACACAGCCTTCCTTTGTTTGGAGACTTGTCGCCACAGGCTGTCTTTAGAGCAAGGCATTTTATTTCCACCTGCTGGGAAGCTGTCCCGAAAGATATGCGGAGACTCATCTTTGGAGAATCTATCTTTGGAATCAAAAAGGCTAAACTATAAATACAGTTTTCCAAATCCAAAGTTATCTGTGGGTGGAGCTCAGATGGGGTACCCTACCTTGCTGCCTGAAGAACTCTGCCAAGAAGGATGCTGGGAGTCGTTACCTGGTGGGACGAGCAGAGAAATGCCTGTGTCCTGCAGCATCAGGCATCCGCCACGGTGGTCCACTTCTCGAGCAGAATACACCAGTAACTTATTCATCAGCTTCCGGGTGATGGTCTGGCCCCGGGTGGGCGTGTGGAGCTCCTGGTAGAACGCAGCCACCTCTGGTAGTGTCGGTGGTGGGCACTGCCTTGGGGGCTCATATTCTGGTAATGAAGTGGGTGGGAACACGGTCTCCTCTTGGTCATCTGGATTCCTGCAGTCTTTTGGCCGCCACCGAGAACAGTGCCAGCGAAGGCACTGAAGCAGAAGGAAAGCGCTGGCCACAGGTATCCCCACCAACAGAAGGAACTCGAAAGGGTACACAGAACTGTCCTGGGGGCTCATCTGCCTGGTCACGCCTACACCCCTGCACCAGCCAAGGCCAAGGGCCTGCGGGGAAAGTGGGTAGAGTCAGTAGAGCTGCACTAAGTCTCTAATTTGTGGAGGCAAACACTTCACTCCCCTACAGCAATGCTCTCCCCATTTTCCCTCTCCCCCATGTAGATTCACACACACATTCAGCAGCCTTCCTGAGCTAGGCATGGTGGTACAGATCTATAATTCCAGCCCTTGTGAGGCAGTAAGATTTGAAGTTCAGGGACAGCCTGAGGTACAAACTGTCCCCCAAAAGAAAGAGCTTCCCACAGTTCTCCACAATCTAGGTCAGCAAAGTAAATCCTGGGCACAGAGAACGTATATTCTGAGTTAGAGGACATGAGTTCAAGGCCATATCAGTCACTGTACCTATTACAATTATCATATTATCCTCACCCATCCAAATATCTACTTTTGAGCCAGTAGAGATACATGCCTATAATCCTAGCAATCAGGAGGCTGCAACAGGAAGATCCTACATTGGAAGCCAGCTTGGGTGTCATATTATCTCAAAATCTATCTTTATTTATGAGCACTCATTTTTAAGAAAAATCTGTAAGGGAAAAAAGTAAGCGCCAATCTGATTGATATAAGCATGTATAGGCTCAGGGCAGAGAGCTCTGCATGCACAAGGCCCTGGGTTTGAGCCGGAGTAACATGGGAAGAAAGAGGGTGGGGAGAGGAGAGAGAGAATGTAAACTATAGAGAGGTGTCTTCAATAGTGTACATCATAAAAACATGAGCCAATTATGTAACTTGACATATTTTATTGGTCACATTACAAAGTGATAGCAGGGACTGGAAAGATAGATGGCTCAGTGGTAAAAAGCATCTACTACTCTTGCAGAGATCTGAGATTCAGATCCCAGCATCCATGCTGGGAGGCTCACAACTGCCTGTAACTCCTGCTCCATGGGATCCAGCAACCTCTTCTGACCTCTTTGGAACCCACATACAGGCATACACTCACACAGACATTCACATACATGCGCATGGGAATACCAAAATAAATATTTTAAAGTAATAATAATATTTGTATTTAATCCAACACATTCAAAATAGTATGTTGTCAGGTAATGGGTATGAACTCATTAGTGAACTATTACACCCGACTCCCTGAGTACTTTACCCTTAGAGCACAGTTCAGCTGGGACTTGCCATAGTTCACATTGTTCCATGACGACTCGTGTCTTAGTGGAAGTCTGGAAGAATATACTCCCAACCCGTTCTATTGATCACCATGGAAAATCATGACAACTGGAGAATACAAAAATGAATTCTAGAAGTCTCCGCATGGCTTGGATTTTTCACAGCAAGCATCTCCTTTGCATGAACTTTGTAATTGTGTATGTACATGTCTGTGGAAGTCAGATATCAGCCTTGGATATCATTCTTCAGGATGTGTATTTGTGTGTGTATGCATGTGTGTGTACATGTACATGTACATATGTATGTCTAGGTATGTGCCCACAGAAGCCAGAGACATCAGATTCCCCTGGAGCTAGAGTTAAAGGCAGTTGCAAGCTGCCTAACATAGGAACCAAATGCTCATCTTCTGGAAGAGCAGCAAGTGTTCTTAACCACTGAGTCACCTCTCCAGCCCCCACCTTGTTTTTTGTTTGTTTGGTGGGTTGGTTGGTTTCACTTGGTCTGTTTTGTTTTGCTTTGCTTTGTTTCTTTCTTCTATTTTTTTGGGACAGGGTCTCTCACTAGGAGTGGGAGCTCACCCAAGAGGCTTGGATGGATGGCCAGCGAGAACCCAGGCATTCACCTAGCTCTGCCTCCCCAGCGCCAAGATTACTAATGCAAGCCACTACGCCTACATTTTTACTTGGGTACCAGGGACCCAACTCAGTTCTCATTTGCACACAGGAAGCACGGTGTCAATCAAGCCATCTTTCTGGTCTTTGGAAATTGTGAGACGTTTGTTGAGTCCTATGGCTTTGCACTTTCTTAAAGAGGATGGCATGAGGTCATGTGGGAAGCACCCATAGATGATGCAGCACTATCCAAATGTGTTTATTTATGTCCCTCCACCTGCCATAAAAGTCAGAAGGTAGCTCCTGGGCATTACATACAGTACAGCATGATCAGCAAGAGTTACAAATGGAAACAAAAAAGAGAAAAGGATGAAGAAGAAAAATAAGCGGGGCCTTAGAGAGAGAATGAAATGAGTGAGGCCAAAAGCACATGCTCACTGAGGGCCTGGCAGTGGGAGCCCCAGGAACTTAGAACTTTCTATCAACCTCCAGCATACATGTCAGTTTTCCCTGGATCTGCTCCCACCCCTTTCTACTTCCTCCTTGAGCCCTGCTGACTCCTAACACCCACACACTCTGGTGGGACTGGGCTCCCATTCCCTGCACATTCTGGCTTGGGCTCCTTCATCCCTGGGCATGCCCTAGCCCTTGACTGGCTCCCAACCTCCCTGCTGCCAGTCTAGTCTGAAAAGCTCCTCCTCATATGCTGTCCTGCCAGCTTTCTCCCATGAGCGTTTCTGATCAGCAGCTGCACATCGGGTACCATGGGAGGCTCCAAAAGGGCCAAAGATGTCTTGTTCGGCCGTGGAGGAGCTGCTGGGGGAAGGCCATTCCTCCATTTGACAGCTGAATTTCTTGAGGCGTGATGTCCTCCTCCAAGGAGGCTTCTGTAACTCATGAGTCCTTCACTAACTGGAAAGGCTCCCAGCATCCCCTCCTCTTCGCCAGCCACCTGCAGCCAAAGACCTACAAAGACTTCAATCCCTTTCCAGCCCCTGACAGGCAGACGCTCCTCTGCACCATCACCACTGGAGATCTGGGAGGGGCCTGTTTCCCCTGCATCCTCACTGAAGATGTGCACAGGAGATGGGACATTGCTCACTTTATCTTGAAACACAACCTTGAGGCTAGAGCCTCAACCTTCTTTAGCCAGGCCACCTGCAAGGCCACAGGTGAATCAGGAAGTGGCCAGAAGCTGAGCTGGGAAGGAAGCAAGCTCCCTGGTAAGCCTCCTCATTCCCTTTGCTGCTTTCACTATTAATAGCACCACAACTATTAAAAACTGATAGAATTGGCTTGGCTTGTGTCGTACACCCATGTGTCTTCACTTCACGGGTGATGTGGGAGTCTTCTGTTTTGTGTTGCATTCATTGGTTAACTAATAAAGAAAACTACTTGGCCTGATAGGACAGAAAATTAGGTAGGCGGAGTAGACAGAATAGAATTCTGGGAGAAAGAAGCCAAGTCAGGCAGTCACCATGATTCTCCCATCCAACACAGACACAGGTTAAGATCTTCCCTAGTAAGCTACCTCGTGGGCTACACAGATATTAGAAATGGATTAGATCAATATGTAAGAGCTAGCCAATAAGAGGTTATAACTAATGGGCCAAGCAGTGTTTAAAAGAATACAGTTTCCGTGTAATTATTTCAGGGCATAAGCTAGCCATGTGGGTGGCCGGGTGCTGGAGATGCAGCCCCGCACTTGTATTACAACACACGGGTAAGGAAGCTGAGCTCTTTCTGCCTGCTGCAGGGATGGAGTGAGGAGCAGTGTGTAGGAACTGGAGATGCACAGGAGTGACTAGTTCGAGCTTGCCCCACCCCTCCTTTGCTCCCAGGTCTCTGCAGTCCCACTTCTAGAGACAATGGCATTGGATGGAGAAGGAGCAAACACAAAGAAAGATGGTTCTGCTCTGCAACAACAGCACTTGTGAGAATGAGGCAGGAAGACTGAGTTTGAGGACATACAATGAGACTGTCTCAAAGAAAGGAACGAGGGGGGAGTACGGGGAAGAGGGAGAAGAAAGGGGCTAGGGATGGTTCAGCAGCTAAGAATACTGGCTTTCAGAAGACCTGGGTTTGATTCTCAGCACCCCCATGGGGTTCACAACCATCTGTAACTCCAGTCCCAAGTGACTGAGACCCTCTTCTGGCCTCTGTGGGCACCACATGATCATGGTGCACATCCTACAGGCAGGCAAAACACTGTACACGAAATAAAAATAAACAAGTGAGAACAAGGAGAGAAAAGAGGAGGAGAAAAGGTGGACAGGAGGAGGAACTAGAGGGGCTGAAAAGGAATAAAAGCATCTCGGGGATCCAGGGTAAGTGATGACATTTATGCCCTGCCTGCCTAGGCTCCAGCAGCCCCAGATGGCTGATAAAAGAGAATGGAATGAGAGGAACCTCTCTGTTTCTATAACAACAGCCTACTTGAGGCCCACTAAAGATCAGAGTCCAAATCCCCACCTCCCCTTGCCCAGCTGCCCCACCTGGAAAGTTAGCATATAACACTCCCACAGCACCCTGGGCCTCAAGGGAGCCTGTCCCACAGCACCCTGGGCATCAAGGGAGCCTGTTGTTCTCTCTGGCCTGCAGCAGCTCAACTCTCAACTCCTCCCAGCTCAAGCCAGGGGCCAGCTGACCACTCTTCCAGACTCCCTCAGCCTTCACCCCATCCCCATCTCTCCATCTCCCCCCATCCCAAGAAGGGAATGGAGCCAAAGTTGAAGGGACCAGCTTGCAGCCCTGCCAATTCACCATGTTCTCTAACTCCCAACTCCTCAGAACCCAATTCTCCAGCCCAGAGCATTCTGGGTAACATTTCCCCAAAACAAGGGGCATTAGAATACCTATTATCACCTGTCCTATGAACAAAGACCTAGAATCTCACTGCAAAGATCTGTTCATATCCTGTAGATATTCATCCCTCCACTCCTCCCTGATTCTCACTAGAACACCTGATAGAGTTCTGAGACATAAAAAGTACAGGCCTGAGCTGGGCTTGGCAGCACTAGCCAGTAATTCCAGCTACTCAGGAGGCTGCAGGAGGGGGTGGGTCACAAATTCAAAGATGTCCTAAGCTTACAGAGAGTTTAAGGCCATCCTGGGCAATGCAGTAAGTCTGTCTTAAAAAGTAAGAATCCAGCATAAGGGGCACACCTTTATCTCAGCACTTAGGAGGCAGAGGCAGGCAGATCCCTGTGAGTTGGAGGACAGCCTGGTAGTGAGCTGCAGGGCAGCCTGGGCTACATAGTGAGACCCTGTCTCAAACAAACAAAGGAACAAAAATAAAGAGTAAAAGAAGACTGGGGTGTAGCTTGGTGACGGAACACTTGTGTGCATGCCCACGTTTCTAGGTTCAAACCACAGTACCAGGGAAACAACAAAAACAAGACAATGAATGAGGCCACAGACAGTTCAAGGTCAGCACTCATGAGCAGAATATACATTTCTACCAAACACAGAATCACCCACTTCTGACACCAGCCAGCACTGGCCCTTTCTTCCCTCCTCTGTGCAGAGGGTCATCACCGGGTGGCAGACTAGCTTAGCTGATCTTGCTCTTTCCTGGGCCTCTTAGCAATACCATCCCCTTGCTGCTGCCACACACACACACACACACACACACACACACACACACACACTGGGGTACCCACCTTAATATCAGTTTGTTCCAAGCGGCCGCTAGCACACCCAGAAGCAATAATTCCTTCTCTAAGAATCAGAAAGGCCAACCAGACCTGTCTCCAGGCCAGCAGACAAGTGGACTTGGGCAGGGAATGCAGGCAGGTGTGGCCTTCCACTTCCCGGCAGCCCAGTCACGCTATGGAGGGGTGGCAGAGAATGTTTTTGTCTATTGGCAAAGTCCAGGTGAGGCCTGGAGTCAGCACACTTCCCAGGGCGGGTCTGGAAGGGAGGAGGGAAGGAGGCAGCTTTGATGCTGATAAGCTAAGGCCCCTACCAAAGGCTGCTGGTACGGTGACGCCCCAGGACTCACCTGGGATTCTTGTTCAAATGCAACCGCTGTTTCCACAGGATCTGGCGGGAGCTCAAAGCACCTTCCGGGTGAGCCAGTGCAGCCGATCCTCACACTGAGAGTCTCTTTTCCGCCCTCCCTGCATGGGAAGATCACACAGGTCCAGTGTTCAAGACTCGCATATCTGCTCCCCACCCCCGCAGAGTTGGTGGGACACTGCCTTTGGGCTGGACACTTGCCCTAGCCCTTGACCGGAGTTGGTGAGACGCTTGCTCTTACCTTGAGCAGGAGTTAGTGCTGACACTCTCAAGGCTCTGAGCCCTGAAGAGCTGAAGAGCAAGCAGAGCCCTGGAGCCCTGAGCGTCTAGGATGAAAGCCCCTCGGGCAGGGAGCTGCCCACCGGTTTGCTGCTGTCTGCCTCTTCAACGCACAGCCATCTTTCCATGGGCTCCTAAACTGACTCCATATCTTGGCTTTGGTGAACGGCACTGCTATAAACGTGGGAATACAGATATGAACGTCTGGAAAGAGCGGGAAGCAGGGGGTGGGGCGACGCTCGACAATGGGCTGCAGTTTGATAAAGTAAGTTCTGGTGCCCGGTGAGACTGCAGTGCAGCAGGGTAGCTACAGGGGACCAAAGTGTGCCCTGAACTCCGAAATAGATAGAAAACAGGATGTTGACTGTTGTCTCAACTTCAGGGATAAATGTTTGAGGAAATTAATATTCTAATTACTTTGATTTGATCATTACAAAATGTATCCATGCATCAAGACATCTTGCAGTATACCCAATAAATATGTAGTTACTGTGCATCAATCAAAAATAAAATTTTTAATAGTTTTTTATTTTAGTGTATTGTTTTATATGTTTGCTTTTATTCTATTTTGTTTAATTTATGAGTGTGTGTGTGTGTGTGTATTCCCATACCTCCTGTACACAGGAGCCTTCAGAGACCAGAAGAGGGGATCATATCCCCTGAAGCTGGAATTATAGACAGCTGTGAACCACTTGATGTGGGCACTGGGATCTGAGTTCAGGTCCTCTGAAAGAGCCAAAAGTTCTGCTAACCACTGAATAGTCTCTCCAGATCCTAAATACAATTTTAAAAAGAGAAAAAAAGAAAAAGGAAAGGAAAGAATAGATAGAGAGATGATAGATAGATAGATAGATAGATAGATAGATAGATAGATAGATGAGGATAGATAGACAATAGATAGATAGCTTATAGATTAATGATAGATAGATAGATAGATAGATAGATAGATAGATAGATAGATAGATAGAGAGAGAGAGATGAATTAGGGCCGGGAAAATGGCTCAGTCAGTACAGTGTTTGTGTTGCATGCTCAAGGACCTGCTAAGTTCAAAAGCCTAAATCCACATAAAAGACACTGGTAACTCTCTAGAGTTGGGGAGAGACAGATGGAACGGTGGGCCACCTGGCCAGCCAACACAGTCAACTTGGTCAGTTCCAGGCCAGGGAGAAGGCCTGTCTCAAAAATAAATAAATAAATAAATAAATAAATAAATAAATAAATAAAATAGTGGACTCCAACTGAGAGAGCTGGCACTCAAGACTGTCCTCTGGCCTCCATGTGCTAGTAACATACCCCTCCTCCACATACACACAGGCGTGCACCTGCACACACGTGCATATACGCACACATAAAAGAACATCTAAAAATGGTTTCCTCTCCCAGTTAATTATTCTCTTATCTCGCATCCCCTCGGCTTCCATCCCTGGGTGGAGATGGCAGGGAGGGTGGTGCCCCAGTGGGTGTCACCAGGGACCCATGGAGAGCAGCTAGCCCTATAAAGAAGACCCAGTGCCTAAAGGACATGCAAGGAAGGGTGCTCACAACTCTGGCAGGGGACAGACAGGGAGGTAGCTGTCTTTGTTATACAAAGCTGTCTGAGTCATGCAGAAGACTGGGCCTCGCCAACAGGCAGGGACACTCTCCCCTGTCCCTTTTCAGGGTGCCTGGGAGGAAGCACCAGGCCACTCCCACCCAGATTCCCTACCTACCTCCACTGCCTGCTGCTTTCATCTCTGAGACACCAAGTGCTGGGGGTTGGAAAGATATGCCAAACCCTAGCCAGGCCAGGTGGAAACAGGCCAGCCATGAGGCTGTAGTCGGGGACTGTGTTCGCGGGTCACGAACTCATTTCCAAAGCTGGTGCTTGCCTCACATGAAGACAATCTGGTTCCAGAGGAGCTCTAGAGACATCTGGGGGCCTCTGTCATCCCCAGGGACACAGAGGTGGGTCACAGGAGCAGAGACCTACATGGTAGGATTTTAGCAGAGACCCGTAGGATTGTAGCTCCAGGCTGGGCTGTTAGAGAAGTTGAAGATTTCAATGTCAAACTCCGAACTAGGGGGCCTCCTCCAAACGCCCAAGTATCAACAGGGCACTGAGGGGCCGAAGGAGGGAAGAGGAGCAGCTCAGCACTAGAGTGCTTGATAGCAGGCATGAAGCCCTGGGTACATTTAATCCCTAATCTCTCTCTCTCTCTCTCTCTCTCTCTCTCTCTCTCTCTCTCTCTCTCTCTCACACACACACACACACACACACACACACACACACAAGTCCTAACAGACCAGGGTGTGGGTGTGTGGACAGGAGCACTCACACAAACAGCCACATAGACTCCCCAACAACGCCACCACCCTTTTCATCTGAGAAAGGGAGGAGGGCAGGAGCCCAGCTCCACCCTCTCCAGTCCCTCCCCCTCTTCTGTGTTGTGCCCCATCAGACGTCATCAGGCATCCGGCCTGGGAGGTGTGTGCCTGAGGTAAGCGAGGAAGTCCTGGGAACCGAAGAGAGGATAGGCACGGTCAATAAGAAGCTTCAGCACCAGATGAAAAATTAGGAATAACTGAGACAGGGAGGTGGGTAGTGGGCAGTGAGAGGCAGCGAGAACCCAATAGAAAAATGCAGACAGGCTTGATGCTCAGCCCTGCCCCAGGAACTTCCAGAACTTGTCCCTGACCTGTGATTGGAAAGGGCGGGTCTGTCGGTCACTCTAGGACAGAAAACAATCAGACTTTTATTTCTGTCAAATTCCATCGATCTTACGACAGATGCTGAAACAGGAAGAGCAAGTAAGAAGACTGATACTGACCAGGGCTTTAGGAGGAGGGGCCTAAACATTGGCCCACATGCAAACGGCATACAGAGAGAGCAAATGGGGATGGCATTTTTCATCAAAGACAACGCTGTTGTGTCCTTCAGAGTCAAACCACAAGAAATCTGGACACCTGTGCTTGCAAACCAACATATGGGAATGGGGAGACGCAGACCACATCCCTGAAGGACCAGGAGCAGGTGAGAATAAATGAGAAGGGGATCCACGGCGTCCGTTGATAGTGCCTGACGCTGGGCAGCCCAGCCTGGGTGGGCCTCTTGAGTGTGCCAGTCTGGTCTAACGAGATAAGATAGGGCGGATGAGTGGGGCGGCTGGGGGTTATAACTGGCGTAGCAAACCCTGGCTCCCACACTCAGAACGTGGCTGCCATGTGAGTTTTCCTGGAGGGTTGCAGTCAGACATCTATTCACCTCAGAAAGCACACTGACAGAAAATCAAAGAAATGGTCCGGTTAAGTCCAGCCTTGTAAACCAACGAACAAGCTTCATAGGCTTCCCTACTCCCTCCAGGATGCCCCCGCCAGCCTCGGTAAGACACAGTTCTTGAGACTCTACAGGCTTGCTATCTGCCTGGCCAGGTGCTGCCTATGTTGGGAGAGAAAGATCGAACCTGGTCCCAATTCACAGGAGTCAGGCGAGAGGAGGAAGCCTTTGCTCTGCTGAACTGTGCTCCCCACTGACTGCGTGAGTGGATAATGTGGGGAACAGAAGGCACGGATGCCAGAAAATGGCAGGGGAATGGTAGCTGCAGATGGTTCAGGGGTCATGACTAGAGCTGGCTCAAGGGGGAGGACCTCCAATGAGGAACTCTGGCCTCAAATTTGAAGGCCTCGAAGAAGGGTGGAGGAACGCTCATCCCAGCATTCTCTCTGCCTGCCCAGACTTTGCCTCTCTACGGTGAATGCAGCTTCAAGGGCCTGTCTTTGTGGGTGTGCCCCTCCTGGGACCCATCCTGATTTGCATGTTCACTCCTAATGATTTGTCCGATTGGTGTGAGGATGACAGGAAGCTGTCGTGGTGTCCACCCCACAAGGTCATATTGCCTGTGTGGGCAACCATCTACTCTGTCATGGGGTGAGTGTGTGGCCTTGGAGCCTGCAGGGGTTGAAGGTAATCAACCCCTTGCTCTGTACCTTGGCCTCCAGATGGATGGTACCCCATTTTCTTTGGGTAGGGGTCCCCCCACAAACAAAAATGCCCTACATTCCCCAGATTCCAGCAAGCCCTCTGCTTCCCCCCTCTCCAACCCTCCCAGCCTTCTCCCCAGGACATCTAACCCCTCCCACCCAATTCCTCCCCCCAGCTCTTCCTTGGCTCTCAAGATTTATTTTATTTTACATGTGTGAGTGTGTCTGTCTGTCTCTGTGTGAGTGTGTGTGTGTGTGTGTGTGTGTATGTGTGTGTATGAGTGTATGCTGTGCATGAACACCAGAAGAAGGCATCAGGCTTTTTCGAGCTGCAGATACGTGAAGTTACAAATCACCTGGCAAGGCTGCTGGGAACCAACTGTGTGTCCTCTGGAAGGGCAGGGAGTGCTCTTAACTGCGGAACCATCTCTCCAGCCCCTCCTTGGCCCTCAAATGATTCTTGCACCCACCTTTGCACATGCCAGACTCAGGGTACTTGCCTTGGCAGCCAAGAGGCCTTATGCCAGAGGGTCTGGCTCCTACAGAACACTCTGTCTCTGCAGCTATGCCTCCTACCTGGTGTGGAAGGACCTGGGAGGGGGCTTCCGGTGGCCCCTAGCACTGCCCCTTGGCCTCTACACTTTCCAGCTCACCCTCAGCTGGACCTTCTTGGTGCTCTTCTTGACAGCCAACAACCCTGGGCTGGTAAGGCACATGATGCTCCATGCTGGGAGAAAAAGAACATGAAACCACATGGCTCCACATCAGACAGTGGGACCAACAAGCGGCATGCATGCAATTCGTACAGTGTGCCCAGTGCTCCAGGGATGGGATTTCTGTGTCAGAGTACTGTAGAAAGGCAGAGGGTCCTAGTTCCTGACACAGCACGGCTACACCCTCCCATCATTTCTGCCCAGGCCCTCCTGGACCTGTTGCTCCTCTATGGGCTGGTGGCAAGCATGGTGCTCATCTGGCAGCCGATCAACAAGCTGGCTGCTCTGCTCCTACTGCCCTACCTGGCCTGGCTCACTGTGACTACCGCCATCACCTACCGCCTGTGGAGGGACAGCTTATGTCCAGCGTACCAGCCTTAGCCATCAAGAAGAGCAACTGAGGCGCCAGGGAACAGGGAGGTGGTAAGTGGGAGGAGTAGTTGTAGAGCTAGAGACACTTGATGTGGCCACTCTCCTTAGACTTTGGAGAAATAGAAAAGAGGAGGGTGTTTTCTGATACATAATAAAATCCTGTTGTTGACTTTGAGGGTGTGATGTTAAGTGGACATGGATGCATAGCGTCCAGCATCCAGGGCTGCAGAGTGGGAGCCTCCCCTGTAGGAGTGACGAGTGGATGCAGGAACACACGCTGGGTAGGGTGACCACCATGTCTCCTCTCTCATGCCTCCCCAAGCCCAGACCAGGGGTTAGCATTTAACGCTTATCTCAGGAACAGAATCTCGGGCCAGCAAGATCAGGTAAAGTCCTTCCCACTAAAACAGAATGAAACCTGATTTCTATCCCTGGGGACCACACGGTGGACAGGAAAAAATGAATCCCGAAAGTTGTCCTTTGACCTCCACATAAGCACTGTGATATACACACATATATACACATGTGCATACATGCACATGTGCGTACATGCACACACCCACACCAAATAGATGAACAAATAAATAAAAAATGGAATCTTGCCTAGAGTGTTGGTGCACTTCTGTAACCCCAGGAGCATTCAGGAAATAATTCAAGGCCATCCTTGGCTATACTGCATAAATTTAAAAAGAAAAAAAAACATTCTTAAAACAGTACATAAAAAGAAACGAAGTCAAAAGGACTCCTGAGGAGGAAGCATGCTGACTCAGCAGGTAGGTGTCTGAGACCACCCAACAGTTGAACTGGATCCCAAGCTCCACATGGTGGAAGGAGAGAATCAAATGCCACAGATTGTCCCCTGACTTCCACATGGGTGATGCTGCAGCGGTACATGTACAGTACAGTACACACACTGTTACAAACTATGTAGATTGAAAATGATGGAGAATGTAGCTCTCCCACCTATTATACGTGTCATGCTAAGCCCTGGGGGATGACTCTGGTAAGTAACAGCTGTTTTTTGTTTTCATAGACTCTTTCATTTACAGTTATTAATGTCTGCTCACTACTATTAGGAGAGATTTGAAAAGGGGCGTGAGCCCAAGGTGCTGAGATGTGGGCAGGGCGCCGAGAGCTGAAGGGGAGGTGCTGAGGAGTGAAGGGGAGGGGAACACAGGGCTGA